TTCGCAAACGAGAGAAGACTGGGAATGACCCAACCGGATGTGCCCGTGCAAATATCGAGGCTCGACCGATTCTGATTTTCATCGACGAGAGCCTTCTCTCTCGGATCCCTCGGACCCCTTCGGAATTTAATCCTAATAAAATACGCAAGAGTGTTTCCCGCATACGCGAAATTATCGCCTTCAATTTGCTTGGTATTTAATTTCACCGTTAAATTAGTGGATCATTGCGAGCCTATTAGTTATTCACAAATTTGTTATTCACGGTTGCCATTCAGAAAATTAAAAATTAAACATTAATCTCACATGGTTCTTGGTCTTATATAGCTCGATTCTAAACAAACAATTTTATTTTACCGGATTTACTACTGTTTGAAATTTACTGAAAAAAAATCGTTAAATAAAACTTTGTTTTACAAAGCTCTATTTTACAAAACTTTTGTTTTTTTATTCAACACATTTTTCGTATATAAAATGTGCAATAGTACCGTAATAAATAGTAATGACACATTTGCCATTGAAACCTTCCTCTCATATATGTATAAATCAATATGCGTTAAATAAATTAACGTGACTGAGGCAGGAGGCGTGATTCTCCCTAGATTCATTATTAATTCGATTTAAATACCGATTCGACAAGCGTCATTTCGGAGATGAGATTTCGCTACCCCTTCAGCACTATCCCGAATGGATAGGCAATGTATTCTAAACGCACGCGGGAGATTCTTTACGGTAGCGTCCACGTGTCAGTGCAATTAGACACACGGGATAAGATCACCGCCACCCTCCCGTCCATCCCAGCCGAGATCTGGCCGGAGCTTCATTCACTTTTCTAACCGCAAACAGACCGCATCTGCCATTTCGCACAGTTTAGCTCTAGCTTGATTTTATTGCGCGACGATTATTTAAAAATAACAGATATAAATTTCGTTTAGTTTAAGCTGCGCGATACTTTTGGATTTCTCCTTTTATTGAATTCAATAATAAGTTGCGCGGTAAAAGAGCATTGAACAGATTTCTGGATCTTCGAAAAGAAACACAAATATCGCGGAATGACGCAAGCGGATAGTGCAAAATGCTAGTACCACAAGATAATCATTATAGTTTTTTTGGAATCAAATTATTATAAACGCGAGAGAGAGTCGCGATAAAATGTTGTCTTATGTCAATAACTTATTATATTGAATAAGGAGTACAGCCAATACACAAAAAGACATAGACAAATAGACATAGCCTCCATTCAGTACGGACGTCGATGCGGACGCATCGCAGTATATCTTCCCGCGAAAAAAAATTTATATCTGTTTTTTTTTCCTCCTTCTTCCTCCAAGCCGCGTGCATATTTGCGTCGTGTCGATTTTATGAGGCCCGAAACATGCCCACTTCCCCGCCAATCGAAAACGTATCATGGGAATAGACGCTGCGGCCTCTACCTGTGCCGCTACGCACACAAAAATGGCTAATTCATAACGCGCTATTAATAACGCAGCCGCTTTTAACACATCGTCGAAGAATGCCACATTACCGTGGATATGTTGTGACAGTGTTTGGGGGCCCGGTTTTGGGGTCCGGCGTTTGTGTTCGGCGCCCTTCCTCTCTCTCTCTCTCTCTTTCTCTCTTTCTCCCCCCCCCCCTATAAAAGGTTTCTCTCCGTCACACGAAGAGACGCTGAAAGACGGCGCGGCGTCGTCCGTACTTTGACAAATGAGACGATATTAATCTCGGACGTTATACGCCACGCCGATGTGTATTATAGAGCGGGGTGTAACACACTCGCGAAATCGTTGCCGCCGCGCGATTTCACTGCTGTTACGCGCATGTCCAAATGCTGGTAATTAATTATACACTCGCTCGCGACGTAGAGACTGGAACTCATATCACGCATCAACTGTACCGTGTTTTATTCGCGCTGTACGTTAATTAGGAGCAGTCAGACGCATTGCAATAAATTAAAGTTACTTTTGCATATGGAACGACCAAATTAAAGGAACTTTTACATATGGAACGAGCGAGCATTACACATGCTAAAAACATATTAAATGGCTTTTCACAAAAAAATTGGCTCCGGGGAAACGTGATTTTCATAGGATTACGCGAAGACGTTAAATTTTACAAAATTTATCCCGTTTTATTTTAAAAATATTTTGTTGTATTATAATACAGGCAAATCTCAATTTCGAATCATTTCGCGTAATTTTATTATATGTGTAAAAAAGAGTAAAAATGCTAAAAAATAATTCGTTTATTTGTGAAAAAAATCCTGATGGACATCGCGATCGATTATATATAGTGAAAACGTAATTTTTTTTTTCAAGCTACAGAATCGACTAACGATTATTTCGGCAGAGGTCAATATCAAATTATTAAAATGCAATTTATTGATTATTTCTTCGTGTAACTGCTTATTGATATTATTGTGAAGCTTATTAATGATGCAAGTGAAATTAATGAGGCAGAAATTTAATTAAATTACGGTTAACACCGACCGATTTATCTAATTTTAAAACACATGAATTCACGTATAACTCAATTTTGAAGTTCTCATAGTTGCGTCGGGGTTTTTCAAAAATAATTTTTAATTTAATTCTTTAAAAAAATAATTAACAAGTAACATAATTTTTGTAGTAACATAATAATAACATAGTAACATAATTTTTAATTTTTTGAAATAGAATAGAATTCTAATTTAGAATTCTGAGTCGCCTGAGGTGATTTAAAAAATTATATTGGTGAGTTGTAGTAAAAAATGCAGCAATTCGAAACCTAGAGAACTTGGAGAGTTCCATGCAAATCATAGATCAAAATCGAGAGAGAAAGAGAAAGAGAGTTAGAGAAAGAGAATATATAAAGATAAGGCCGTCGGGAACGACAAAACGAGACGGAAATACGGATTCGCGAAAGGCGGGGGCGACATCGGGAATTGAAAAATAGCGCCTTGGGCCGCTGTCGCTCACAGTGATGGCCCCGTGACAGCCAATGTAACGCACGAATTAACGAAATAATTGATTTTCATACCGGTTCGAAATAAGCGCGCCACGCGGCGGCACAAAAGACCCGGGCCGAATCCGGTGGCCGTCAAACGGAAAGAGATATTTTGCCGATTTCGGTTGCAACCGGGTGGTGATGGTGGTGGTGGCGGTGGTGGTGGTGGTGCATCGCCACCGTCGCCGCGGTGGCGGAAAAAAATTGCGGCTAGCGTTTTTAAATTCCCCGGTCCCGTCGGCCCACGGCCCGGGGCCAATTTAAATACACCGGTTTACATTGGTAAATTGGCATAGACTCTCCCGGGCGACGAGCGGCGAAAAAAATCGGAAATTGTTCCGGGTTGTAGTGTAAATATTCGACGGTCCCGAGAGTAATCCATCGACGAGCCCCGGCGACTCCGAAAGGAAGCTGACTGGGAAATCAAAATTGCTTGCACGAGAAAGAATCTTTATGATACCGTATAAGTGAATCTTTATAATGCCATAAAATGATCTTTACGATATCCTATAAATCATATTGGGAAAAGCAACGTGAGAGGAGCAAATTATTAATTTTCCCTCTGAAAAGACGTACGAAGGCTTTATTCTGCCCGGGACGTAGTCCATAAATAAATTTGCGGTTCGCCTTGAAAAAGATCGACGCGAAATTCCGGGCGAATTTGGGTCGCACGTCAAACGTGCCTCTCATAAATTTTATAGAAGGCAATATTTGACGCACAACCCAGTTCTGCGGATTCTACGGAAAGGGCTGGTAAAAAGATCCGTTCTGACTATACGTCTGACGCGGGCCACAACGAAAAAAGGAAGGAGGCACCACTTTTCTTCAGACTTAACGTGTTATTGCTTCCATAATTGTACCTATATCGAGAGCGTGGCGCGACAAAGCGGTGCTCGCCGGTTGAACGGCGCGCTGCGTAAGTCGTTGTGTCCCGTAACGTTAATGGGAAAAGTGAAAAACATTATTCGTAGCCGGGCGAGTATAATGTAAGCGCGGCGCGCTCTCTACGCCGGATAGGAAGGGCGCCGGCAGCGCACGGCAGATGGAAGGAAAAGAGCGCGTGAGGAGAGAGAAAGAGAGAGAGAGAGAACGAGGGACAGAGACGAGAGAGCGGAGAGAGAACAGATTTATATTTGAAATTAGATTAAGCTTCTGCGCCTGAAAGCTATATAAACGCCCCCTCCGCTTGCGCCTTCCTCCGCGCACAAATCCACCGCGCCCGGAGAGAGACTCAATAAACCAACCACTCACTCTTTCCTCCTCTCCTTCCCGTCTCTCCTGCGCCTCGTTCTCTGTTTTGCAAACCCGCGAACGTACCTTCGGTGCCCGCCTCCCGCCGTCCTTTTCCTTCCAAAATGCGACGCTCCTCCGCACGCTCTCCTCTCGCTCGTTCGAGCTTCTCTCCTTCCGCGAAATCTTTTCCCCTCTTTCACTTTTCCCGCCTCCGAAACCTACCATGTAAAACCACCCCCTTCCTTATTTTCACATGTATCCAGTTTACTCCGTAATCGGTCGACCCGACGAGTCATTTCGCGCAATTCACTCCGGGAGGCAAGAGAGGCTCAATAAACCGAGTACATTATTCTCTCTTTTCTTCCTGGCATAAAGAGCCAACCGTTCTCTTCCTCCCACTTCTCTTTCTTGTTTCCTCTTGTTTCTCTCTTAACTCCGTCGCGACGCTCTCCGCTCCTCTTGCTCACGTTCAGAGATTTTACTTTCCTCCCGCGACTTATTACCGAATAAACGGATTGAATATCAAGAACAATAACGTCACGTATTCGGCGCCACAAGGTTTATTCGATAAAAGCTCGCCAAATATATCGTGTGCTTACAAGGGAAAATGTTACAAGGATGTTGTGGTGCCGCGCGAAAGCGGACGTTCTTAATATACATTAGGCTCCCTCACGCATGCATGACTTTATAACTGTAAGGAAGTAGAAGCGTATGAAGAAACGTCATAACTGTACTTGAATGCTTTCGCGCGTGTACGACCGATATTTAGGCACACACGACACCCGGATTCACAAGGGAGTTTGCAGTACGCCGGCTCCCACGCCGTAACCGTATCCTTGCGGTCCGAAATTACGAACGTAACATTCTGCGCAATTTATGGAAGAACCTCAGTTAACATGAGCAGTCTTAATTGATCGACGAGATAATTACTACCGATCGAAGAGAGTCAGAGCGGAAAAGGTAGAAAAAAAGCGCGAAACGTATAAAAAGGCTCAACAAAAAGTATTTACAAAATTTCGGAGTCTTGTATACTTTTCTATAATTTGATGTTACCAACGTTTGCAATAGATCTCGCCGCCGTTCTCCTGATAAGTTAACGGTTCCAGCGGCTTTCGGCAACAAAAGCAACTGAAGCAAATATTGTGGTAGGGCACTCCGGAAGCGATCTTGGAAAGTACAATAAAATTGCACGTAAAAATTTCTGATATTTCCCCTCAAAATCTTTTTCTACCGTATATTGGAGCTTATTGTGTCACAGTAGAATTATTTCTTTTACACTCCTATCTATTGCTTTACATTCCTATTTTTATTAAATGATACACAGATGTTCTTTGTATGTGCTGATCCAAATATTATTTGAGCGATACAACTAATTGTCGTAAATGATACGATCTCGATTTCGGTGCGCTCTCTCTTTTAACGATATTGTACTTACCTGCATCTCAGCCTGGTAGACCTTTCTTCCGCATCGCCGACAGTCAAGGCCGCCACCGAGGCACTCGCACGGCAATCTCAGCCGGCAGCAGACTCCATCGGTGCCGCATTTCGCCCCGTCATTGACGCCGCAGCATCCGCTACCTATGGCAGACAGACATCTCGGGCTGCGCGACCTGCGACATAGAAATCGAAAAAATCACTCGTATCGCAACACAGAGTATATGAGGACAAATTCTTTATGGGTAGCATTCAACTTTTTCTTTCGGTTTTTATCATCAAATTCGCGACTTAAGTTACGACATAAAAAGTACCGAAAAGAGTCAAGGAAAATTCAGCTCCATGAATTAGCCGAAATTTCAAATCGATTTATATCGAATAAATTTATATCGAAAGAAAATTCTGAGACACTGTGTATACAGAAGTCTACGACGTGCTCGCACCTTCCACAGCTGGGTCCGCTGCAGCAGCCTCTGCAGCCGCTGATCGAACACGGGGACTGCGGTGGACAGCGCGGAGCGCAAGGCGACCGTCCGCGCGAGGAATGAGCCGGCGAGCTGCAGATCCTCGGCGACGGCGTGCAGATCTGACCGGGTTTCCCGCAGCCGCCGCAACATCTACCACCGCAGCAACTTCGGATACCTGTCGTGCACGGAGGAGGCGGCGGCGGCTCGCACCTGGCCGACTTCCTGCAGCCACGGGGACAGCAACAACAGGAACAACGCGACGGCACGACGCGCACCGTCTTGGCTCTGTCCGGACTAGGCGCGCATGATTCATTCGGCTCTGCCACGGGTCTGCCGCAACAGCGGCCGTAGTCCTGCGAACTCCTCCAGACGCTGCAACCGCGTGGAAATGTTGTAGTGTCAATCATTTCGGTTTGAGAGAAATCTTTATAATAATATTCAATTACGACGACGATTATCTTGAATATTTTCAGTATATGGTCATTAAAGACTTATTATGTGTGTACGTGTGTTTTGCAAGCTCTTTTTCAAATGCTACATAAATTATCTACAAGTTCAACCTATTGAACTCGTCAATGACTTTTTTTGACGGTACTACAGCCTCGCGGAAAGCTTGCGGAGAAATTGTATAAATATCGAAATTTCTTAGCGTAACAATGATGCTTCACCCACTTTTCGCGTGCTCCGCAGCAGCATCCGCCGCAGCCTCCTCGCATGCGATACTCATCACAGCCACTCGTGTCTACGTTCTTGCGGGCGAAGTTTGGCGGATCCTCGTTCCACACGGTATCATCTTCGTCGTTTCTTGCCTTACTTCCGGCAATGCGATCCGTCGGACAGACATCACCGTTACCGGCCACCCATTCCCCCCGCGTGCGCTCGTCGCACTCGACTGTTCGCTCGCCGACATTCTCCGACTGGCCTTTGTTGCTACTGTTGAAAGTGCAACCCGATACTCTGCAACGACTCTCCGCGTAATTGTCGATCCTTGGTGTGCTTTCCGAGTATCCGTCGTCGCTCCTGCCGGTCGACGAGTCGTCCGCCTGCCAAATGTCGTAGAACGTCTCGCGCTCCACCTTGCTTCCGCCGATTTCGTCGTTGTCGTCGTCGTCGCCGTCGCGACACGCGCTCGTCAGATCGTCGTCCTGCATCGCGCGGCGGTAACGCTCCTCGTCGCCGTCGTGCCCGATGACGGTGGCGTCGCTGAAGGAGACCCGTCTGCGAAACGGCGGCGCGCGGCGATTTGCCGTTAACGGCCGCGACGGGCACGAGCACTTGCGTCTCGGCGAGGGCGAAGGCGGCGCGATATCCGGGGTATCGGCGACGGCGGCGACGGCGGTCCTGGACTCGCGGCAGGAGGTAGACGACTCGCAGGCGGATACGATCACCCTCGTCCGATCCTCGCCCGTGGTACTAGAAACATCTGTGCTCACAATCCTCAATTCTATCTCATTTGGCCGCCCACCACGATCGTGATGCGAGCAGTTACGCATATAGATACTACGCACAGGTGTGAATGACAATCAGGCGCGATCGATTAAAATTATTTTCGCAACGATATATAAATGCGAAACATGAAACAGCATCGAAAGAGTTAATACATACGGAAAAACAATAACGAGGATTATCTCTGACACGCGTCCTTTTTTTTTATAGTTTTTTCATATTCAATGGGAATTGTAGTTTTATTTAAGAAATAAAAGTATTCGTCTCCCTTTAAAAGCCCTATTTTCGATGCTGCCGGGTGTCTCACAATTTATAATCTTAATTCAATCATCACGAATATTTCTAATTAATGAATCGTATGTTCAATCGATCCAAATATTAGTGAAATATTATTTTGGAATAATTGAGACTACACACTTAACTTTTTTACCTCAAATGATTTCGAGGGCTGCTCATTCCTTTGATGAAATCCGTGTCTCGCGGTTAATCGTATACGTCATTTCGCGATCATTCTTGTCGCCGTTGCCCCAGGAATCGTTTATCTCCAATTTTTTTCGCTTACTCCAAATTTTCTCGACGCGCTTCCGATTGATCTGCTCCGGTTTCCGAGATACCGGACAACTCCCGTCGATTATCTCGCAGCTGTTCACGTTACTGTTCTCGAAAGCTGGAAGTGACTTTGCAGATGGACCGATCTGAAGTCGGCATAGTTTTTACCTCGTAGATGATTGATGATAAACGGCCTGTGCATCAAAAATCATATTCTATTTTAATCTTGTATAAATTATTATTGCTAAAAAGTTGTTTATTTGCGTCTCTCCTTATCTCAATATATTTTTAAATAGTAATCGTACATATTAACATGTATATTTCTTTTTTTAGTTTCATATTATGGATTTAATAACACATGCTTTTCCTTATATTTTTCAGAGATGTTAACTTGATTTATGCAAACAATATGCGAATCAATTCGAGTTTTTAAACTCAAATAATGAAATGCCGATGACTTTATCACATAATATAACCGTAAAACTAAGTAGAAAGTTGCAAGTAGTTGTTGATCCTGTAATTTATAGTTATATATTCTTATTATCGATGCGCTCTTTTTCTTTCGATTTCTCGTAATTTAATTAATGTAATCACGGATTGTGTGCCACCAATTAAATAATTTTTTACAAATAAATCTGTAGTTTATTATTGCAACACGTAAATGCATATACATTCTATTTGTCGTTCGTAGACTCCGTTTTCAAGTAACCTATTACCCTTGCAACAATCATTTTTCTTTTTCGAGAAAATTAATAGCGTTATTACCTCGAATGCAGTGATAATCGCGATCTGACAATAATTTGTGAATTTGAATTATCCTTTGCGCGGAGACGGGCTTCGAGATGGCAGTAACTTACGGGAGAAAATCGACGAATCCACGATGGCGAGAAAACGACGCGTGTAATAATTTTGCGAAAGAAACACCCCGTCGTGAGTCGCCACTCTACGGCTCTAGGATATAAGCTTTCGGCATTTACCTACGGGCGATCACATTCGCAAAAATTAGCTAGATCGAACGATGATATATTCACATTATTATTAAGTATTAATATTATATTAATATTTCTCTATTTTAAAGTAAAAATAATTCGGAAAGAAGGATAATATAGATATGAGGATGAATTAAATTAATAGCAAAAGCAGCTGACTATATTATTGTTAACATTTTCAGAAGATCGATTCTTTCGTTGTCAAAAGTCACCTGATAATGACATATTTTATGTGAAATGTGGTCAAATAAATATTTATCGCAATTGGTGATATTAATTAATAATGTATATATAATGGACACATTTCAAATGTCTCATGTATATCTGCAATTGCAGTAATAGCCGGCGTATTATGGTTTGTCATTAATATATTTATATATTTGTGTTTATAATTAATATACACATAGTTCATATTTTGTAATAATAATTTCAAAACATTATATATGTTTAATTGGGTTAAGTACGTTAATGGCGCAAAATATGGTTACGCGCTCCACGTATTCAAATCTGGATCAATGGCATAATTAGATTTAAAAAAACCTTACCGTGATTATATTTAATCAATGTGGTTCGTGATTTTTTACGAAGATCGCCGCATTTCTCAAATTTTGTGAACAATTAAGCAACGATTTTGTGGACGATTAAGCGTCAACGATTTTGTGAGCAATTAAGCGTCTTTGCACACGGAAAATAAGACGCAAATCATAGAGCGGCTATATACCCACCACAATTACAATTTTTGTTGAGTCTCGATTGTGCCACTTCTCTCTCTCTCTCCATTTAATTCTCGATTTTGACCAGAGAGAAGCAATTCTCTCTGCAGATATTTCGGATATCGAATGATCGACACGGCGTGCGCGAAAGTGGACAGTTCCCCGAATCTCTCTCGCGGCCGACGTCAGCCGTCAGGTGGCAGCAGCGCGAGGCCGCGCGGCGAGCGCCCCGTGTACTCAGTGGACTGTCCGAGTGGCAGCTTGCCAGCTTTTCCTCTCCTTCCAGAAGGGGGGGAGCGCGAGAAAAGAGAGGTTAGGCTTGTGCTCTCGCGCGGCGATGGCGGCGATAAAGGGCCTGGGTAGGAATATTCCCTACCTGAGGCAACAGGCTGCGGCCCTGCTCGGTAACACTAGCACCAGCGTGAAATTCATCTGCGTGGTGGTGCTCGTATCCTATTGCCTGTCCTACTCCGAGGAGGCGGTGCGCATCCTGAGCGTGACGCCAGGTTACCTGCTGCCGCCGGTCTTCTGGTTCTGGACGGCCTTCAGCTTCTGCTTCCTCGAGATACACTTCTGGGAGGTGTGCGTGGACGTCGTCACCGTCGGGCTATGCGGCAAGCTGATCGAGCCCCTCTGGGGCGCCTTCGAGATGATGACGTTCTTCGCCATCGTCAACTTCGGCGTCGCCGTGCTCTCGGCGCTCTTCTACCTGTTTCTCTACATGTGCACCAGCAACCCGGATATGCTCTTCAGCATACACATACACGGCTTGACCGGCTACATCGCAGGTACGTACTCCCCTCCCGCGGCTGGGCGCACAAAGGTCCAGGGTCGATTTGAGATTCCGTACACTGTTGTAATCACAGATGCGGAACGGAGCTCTCTTGTCAATTCATAATTTATTGGTATAATTTGGTTTCAGGATAGTTTTTATTATTCGTGCATGTGAAATGTTTGTGAATTAATTGCCCTTTTTAAGATTCTTTTTTTTGCAAGATTTCAAGAAATTTCATAGAAATATGCTTCGAAATGTATCTTCAGCTGTATCAAGGAATTATTTCATTTTGCAGGAGTCGCGGTGGCGGTGAAGCAAATAATGCCAGATCATATCTTAATCAAGACACCCATTGGGAAGATAACGAATAGAAATATACCTTTAATGGTATGGATCGTGGGACTGATATTATGGCTCGTCGGATTACTAGAGGGTACTCATCCCACCATGTTTCTCAGTGGATTGTTGATATCTTGGGTATACTTGAGATTTTATCAGAAGCATAATAATGGCACTCGAGGCGATATGGCGGACAATTTCACATTTGCAAGGTGAGATTTTTTTTCTGTAATTTTGATCAATCCTCGAGGATGTTGAAGCTTCGATCGTTCTACTTGGAACTCTTTTTTCTTTGCAGTTTTTTTCCAAATGTCTTGCAACCACCGATAGCAGTGGTGAGTAACACTATACACGGATTTTTCGTGCGGATCGGACTGTGCCGGAAAGTAGTTAGAAGATTTGACATGTCCAACACGCCGCCTGGCCTGGTTATCAATCTTCCTGGTATTGATCCTCACGATAGCGAACGACGACGGTGAGTAGTTTTACAAGCACACGAGAGATAAAATCGTGAATGCCAATTTTCGAATGAGCAACATTTTTTGCAAGTCATCCTATGCCATTAGTCTCATCTTGTCGATCGATGTCTACTTTTGCAGGCAAATAGCGTTGAAAGCGTTGAGCGAGCGATTAAGCAGAGATCACGCGAAACCTTGGCAACCGGACAGGGCTAAGAAACACTCCCCAGTGCCTCCCGCGGTTTCCATACCGATACCTGAATCCACCACACCGAAACCACTCGCGTCTCCACTCATTCCACAAGTCAATGTCAATATACATAATCATCCCTCTAGCAGTAGCACGTGATTATACGAGACTGACTGATTTCAATAGGTTTACAAATTACATTGAAAAGCTTCTAAAGATTAAACATAAGTGTAAAGCCCAGGCTTATCAATATGGCTATATTCAATAATGGGTGCAATCTTATTTTTTAAAATAATTTAAATTATATATCTGTAGAGAGAGAGAGAGAGAGAGAGAGAGAGAGAGAGAGAGAGAGAGATAGAATGTGTTACTACTATAATTTAAGCATTAAAATTTTTTCATGGAGTGAGTTAAATTTCATGAAAACTTAATGTACGATTCAATTCATTAACAGTTATTTGAACACAGTAAATCTTATTCTCATAATATTTACACTTGTTGAAACAATAGAATGTCATAAAAAAAACTTCTTGAACTTCAGTTTTCGAAATCTGAAAATTTATAAGACTTTAATGCCACTATACTATAATTGCTATCTTTTTTTATTATTATTGGAAATTATTGGAAATGTGAGTTGCAACTATTTTTTGATCTTTCTTTATGTGAAAAGAATTGATATTAATTTTACAATGAATTAAATATGAAAAAACTTCCTGATTAGAACAAAAATTAATATACTGCCATTTAAGAGAAATCAAAAAATTAATAAGTAAAATATTACAACTTCATATTTTTTGGGACTTTATTTTTATATAATATTTATATTTTCGTACTAATTTATAAAAAACTAATTAAAATGTCTTCTATAAAATTGCTACATACATAAATTATGATGGGATACACCTTGATTATACCATATTAATGCCGATTTAAAAATGTATAATCTTTAGAAGATTTTTCACAGCGTATGGGAAAGATGAAATCAATGTTTGTATCTTATGATGCTATTTTCCAAGAAACGAAACAATTCTTTGTTATACTAAAAATTATATAAAATTCAGTGATGAGAATTTTAATATCTCCATAAAAAGACGATCTTAGATTTATAGTGCCATATTAGAGCGCACTGTTCTGTTGAAAAGTCCGATGATGATTTAATATAATACAATAGTAACATAATTAAACTTATTAGATGCTTTCAGTGCGGTACATACAGCGACATAATTCTGTTAGGAAAACATTGAAATTGAAGAAAGTGAACAGATTTAATTTTTAAAATAAATTTTGTACTATTGAAAACGCGCGAAAGAGAGAATTATCTCAATGTTAACTTATATATACATGTACATGTTGAAATCAGCTAGTTATGAAGACATGCAGAGAAAGTTCTGTATATTTACATTTCAATTAAAACATATATTTTTTCAATAAATTGTTCTAAATTATTATAATCGACATAGAATATAACATTAATTTACTAGTATCAGTTTTATTTTTAATTTACTATTTTTATTTTTATTTACTATTATCAGTTCTATTTTCTTTTTAAATTTCTAAATGATGTTATACATGATGAAAATGTATAAAAATTTTAATTTAAATTGCATAAATCTATTTTGTACAGTATCATTTATTTTATGTAAATGCATATTTAATAATGTTATAAAACGTATAACATTTTTCGTTCATTCATAGATACATTCGTACATACATAAGTGGGAGTGCGTGGGGATGGAAGATAGATTTTACTAATATTATAACGAATAATGAGGTATCTTGTATATAAAATTTCACGATTACACAGACGAATTTGTAAATATAATAAAGATTGATGTAAACCGTAAAGGGAACAAGATATGAAAGAGGGGCAGTGATTATATATAGCGACATCGCTATGTATAATCATTCCATTATGCACATAATGGAATGATATTAAGAGCTATTTTTATGTATGATGAGAGAATAAAAGTTTTGGAAGTATGTAATTGTGTGTGTGTGTGTTCTGAGCAATTTTGGCCGTCTATTCGATGTGATGTTATTGACGAATCTTTTAAGTCCTTTTTATTATGAGTATTTAGTCAATTAATATTTATTATACCGTGTTTGAAAAATGGAAGGCCAAAATTAGTTGAGTGTGAGCGAGTATGAGTATTTGTTGAATTCACAGGAAGCATGTTTTAAGAATCTAATGTATTATTCCATGCATATGTACATGTTATATATATATATATATATATATATATATATATATATATATCAATTAATTTTGTACATAAGTTACAATCGTTACAATCTGTACAATATTAAATTCTACCGACAAAATATCTGTATTGACTTCATTACCAATACATTTTACAATCAGTAAAGGATCAAAATCAGAGGTTTGGGAAATTCTTGATAATCTAAATATAAATACATTCCAAATAATTAAAATAATTCATAAATTTTTTTTATCCAAAGATATAATCTCATTATTTTAACGTCTTGTATGTTCAATTATACAAATATATTGTAAACTTCTTTTAATAACTTTCTTAAAATAATAGATATATATATTTCAATCCAACATTTATCTTTACGATGAAACGCTGGCAATGCTTAATAGAACATAATAAATATTGATGCGTTTTTTATCTAGTTTTCTCATCAAAATGTTAAGAAAAATTCTGACAAAGATATAATAAAAACCAAAAAAAAAAAATCATTTTATTACAAAATTAAAATAATGTCGCTTACCAGGTAAAATATACTTAATAGAACATATTGACAATTATACAATATATATATATAAATATTGTAGAACACATATCTTAAAATCTTCTGATGCTTGCAACTGAAATATAATTTACATATATATATATTAATATACATAAATTAGATTCTGTGAAAATTTTTGAATTTTTTAAATTTTGTGTTTCTTAAATGATGTAATTATAGCTTCAAAATTTAAACGCTTATGCAATATGTGCTCTATGGTAAGAGACATTTTAATTTTAATAATGTGAAGTCATTCAAATAACGATATGAAATATAAAAATAACTAATATTATCTGTATGTACAGTCGTGGACATATCGGTTGCGACATTTTTTTTTAAATAGGTTTCGAAACGCACTAATATTTTGCAAATGCGAACCACGATTGGTGTACTATCTCTAGACTACTACACCAAGATAGTACACCATCGTGATTCGCATTTGCAAAATATTAGTTATCTATAAAATATATATTATATATATTAAAATAAATATATTCTAAACCTATGAAAAAGAAGTGTCGCAGGTGTCGATATGTCCACGACTGTACATACACATACATATGTGAGAGTAGATAGAACGTCATTTCTATAATTCAATATTTTATAATCTACTTAGCAGAGTATATAAAATCAATAGATTCAGACCAAATAATCTTCGGTACTTTCGGTTATTAAAATTTGTTTCTTATTTCAATGAGAAAATATTTCTTCACTTAAAAAAAGATATATAAAATGATCGAAAGTTCACACAAACTTGTGTCTTTCACGTTGACTACTTTACCACTGACAGCTAGTGACACTCTCTCGTCTCTTTCTTATCTGTAAAACTGCTGTTGATGCTGTGACCATTGTGACTGCGGTGGCGGCGGCGGTTGTTGCTGAGACGGTGGCGGACCGTATTGAGGCTCCTGTATATAGCCGGTGGGTGATGGCCGTATGGAGGTCGGCGCCGACGACACGTACTGCTGCTGCTGCGGCGGCGGCGGTGGCGGCACGTAGGACACCTGAGTGGGATGCTGCTGCTGCGGGTAGTACTGCTGCGTCGGCTGCGACACCGGCGGTGGCACGTTATAACCGCCGTAATTGACCGGCGGCGGTGGCGGCGGAGGCGGCGGCGGTGGCGTCGGGTAGTAATGATGGCTCTGTTGCGCGTGGAGGTCGTGCGTGGCTAGGGACGTCGTGTCCTGGATCGGCACGGTGATGAGATTGGTCCGCATCGGGGCGCTATTCGGCGGCGGCGGCGGCGGCGCGCTGCTCTGCGCGTAACTCTGTATCGACATCATCGCTTGTTGCTGCTGCTGTTGCTGCTGCTGTTGTTGTTGCTGCTGCTGCTGCCTGTGCTGCCGATGTTGCTCCAACGTCGGTTGCTGATTTACCAGCGAGTTCACGCGGGGATCGTTACCCATGATCGGTTGAACCATGTGAGACTGCACGGATTTAAGCCGCGTGCTCTGCATCTGCACGGAAGACACCTTCGTCAGCTGCGAGTCCATCTCCGGTTTGGCGTGCACATATTGCGGAGGATCGACCTGCATTCCCTGGACCGTTTGGGACGGCGCCGATATTATATGCCGATGGTTGATGTGAGCCTGTACGACAATTAAAATGTCATTTGATGTAACACTCTTAAAGCTCAAATTTTACTATATTATTAATTATATATCATACCAAATATCTTTTCTATATTTCTATACGTTTAATGTGCAATGTTATTGGTACTACATTATATGCTAATGATTAACGTGAGCCTATTATCATTAAATTATAAAATGCCATTTGATGTAACATTCTTAAAACATAAATTTTTACTATTATCAATTATCAATTATATATCTTACCAAAACTTCCCTATACGTTTAACGTGCAATATTCATTTACCTGTAGATCCCGCTGACTGAGATATGTCCTCCTGCATCCAGCATTTCCGTATCTCGTTCCGCCATGCGTGCACATAAATACGGTACCCAGACCGGTTTGCTCCACTCTGGACACCTTCTCCACGCAACGAGGACAGACTTTGTCTTCTCTCTTAGCACAAGACAGGCAGAATACATGTTTGCAAGGTATCTGAAAAGTATATTAAATGCAGATGTATTAGGAGCTATAATCAAGGGCGAAGTTAATGAGAAATATGAGCGAGTGAAAATAGTCAATTCATAATAGATCTCAGGACCGCGATTCTCAGCTCATATGTCTCAATTTAAAGCTTGTGAATGAAGGAGTTTGAGGTGAAACCATGAAACGACATGCATTTAATTCAATAAGATTTAATGCGAGAGATATAAATTCCTTGCGCAACTCCAATTGGCAAAACGTACCATACGGCCGTAGATGAGAATAGGCTTCAAACATTTGTCGCAACAATGTATCATAGGATTCAGTACTTTCTCTCCTATAAGATTCACCCGATGGTCCCATCTCAAGCGCAGCATCGGCTCCGGCGGACCACGGTTGATGGTCGTGAAAGTCGGCGCCTCCAGCTGCGATATATCAGCCTCCAAGTCGAACTGCTGCTCGAGAGATGGCTGCTGAGTCACGGGGGGTTCATGCTCGTCCACCAATTGCTCGCCACCAATTGCTTCCGTAGAATTGTCCTCTCCTTGTTGCGGAGTGTCTTCTTCATCGCTTTCGATAACCTGCAAATTTCAATGCATAAATATTTTACATTGGATTACAATTCGCTTGAAAATGTAGCGTCTGTTATTCGCTTTATTTCAAAAAGTCAACTTTATGGCAAAATAATATTGAAGATCCAATTATCGGGCGATAAAGTTAATTCTGTAAAAATTCCGAGATAATATTTGCATTATTTATTAAAGTCAGTTATTTATATCCTCAGTCAATTATTTATACCCCTATTATTTCACGTAAGTGCGAGTGAGAAGTAAGTTGACAAAATTATTCGTACTGAATATTCTTTGATCGCAATTTTATAGCATAAATTATAAGTACTATAAGCTTGTTATTATAAGAATAAACTCAAATAAAATATCAAATTAAGGACTAACTTAACTAAGGCCGAACATAATAAAAATGATGTTATGCCTTTTATATAACTTTTGCCTGTGAGGTAAGCTATCCCGCAAAAATTTTGCATAAGTATGTTGCAAAAGAATATAACGCAGTATTTTTGGTTGATACAACAATTCTGAGTGGAAAATCTTTCTTATATACTTTCGGAAGACCATGGGCTTTCGGTAATAAACAATCATGTATTTATTTAAAGAATAATACTCTTGTTATGAAGTCTCTAGAAAATCATCTTTTTAATATTGTGATCAATTAATCTTCTATATTATAAACTGAATATTCTATTTAATATGTTGGACTTCTACCTAAAATAATGTATCTATCCCTGTCACTTAAAATGCTGTCCATCTTTCTCAAATATTGCAGTCTCTCCATTACAACTGTTACATTCTTCTTGTCTGCTTTAGTAAAAAATAATATCTGAATTTGCTTTACAAAACTCAGTCATTGACTTATTCGAATGTACTAATTTTTACTTATTGAGATTTATTTTATTGAGATTTGAGGTAATTTTTTAATCTAAATAATGATTGAATTGTGGAACTACAATATTTCTTACTCTTGATTTAATAATTAGCAGACATAATTCCATAATTCTCAATGTCCTTTTAAAAACCGTTTGTTATCCATATGATCAATAAGGATAATATTATTAACCTTACCACCAATGAGGTATTATCTCGTCGATGATCTTACTAAAGTTTCTAGAATCTATGTTATTATTTAAGCACGAACGAACCAATTTGGTAACACATCCCTCAAAATTTACAATTTTTGAGGGGTCATTGCGATCAAATTTTTACACAATTTTATGACATAAATCTCAAGACGTTGATTTACCTTAACTTGCTTCTTGGCTCTTCCTCTAGACCGACCCCGGGTCGTTCGTCCACGGGCTCGACCGCGAGCACGGCCCCTCATTCTCTTACCATTCTCCTCCATCGCTGAAATCAATGCGTTACTTGATTCCATTGTAATTACTGTTAGAAATAGAGAAGAGGATCATCACCGACAATTTATTCGTGGATTATTTACAGCTAATCAATAAAACAGAACACAAAAGTAATTCACGAACACAAATTTTTCACGATGATCACGAGATAAAAGTTAGGAATTTTAGATCGAGAACAATTAAATATACATTCGGAATCTGAATCTAAGTCAGAAATAATTTTCATATCGCCGATTTAGCTTCTTCTCGAGGAATTCTTGATACTTTAATCGGTAAATTCTGTTTCAAGTGAAACGTTTTAGGTTACGTTCCGGACTGTACTTAGTTCTGGCGCTTCTCAAGGCGAAGGGCAAGTGACTGATTAGTGACTATTAAATGGCAGTACTTACGATTGAAGTTTGATAACTAAACGGTCGCGTTTGTTTCGTCTAGAGCTGCCAAATAATATTTTCACAACATATCGTCGGCGATCCGGGCGGCCGAACTTTTACGTTTACGACCAATGTTGATAGACGGGGCCACAGCAGAGACCTCTCTGGTAGAGTCCCTCTAGGCGTATGCGCACAAGGCGAATCGTCCCGAATTCGTCCGTCTCGACAGAGCAAGCAGCAGCAAGCAGTGCTTGCCAATCGGGGCGCCAGGCGTCGCACTACTCTACTCGCACTTTGCACTGTTTTGCACTTCGCAGTTGCCACTCTCATGGTGGACGTGGAAGGGATATTCCACCATGGTCGGGCAGGTTAATTTAATCGTGGTACTTGGATCAGTTGGTCGTTAGTCATTGGATCCTACAGACAGATTTGAAATACAGAGGGAAAGGAAAGAAGATCGGGCAGGCGTCGCTGCTTCGCACTCTTCGCAGTCTTCGCAGTTCGCACTCTTCGCAACCGGCAGCATGCGGCACCCGCTTCGCTCGCTCGCCGTCGCCGATTCGCGCAGTAGTTGCAGCTAACCTAAAAGCTGCTTAAAGCCGGTAAGAGCCATAGATTATCCAAGCAAAATAAAAGCTAAATCATGGCAGGCACCGCGGGCATGACCGCTACGACCGCTCTCAAGATCATTCCTGGCGCGTACATTCCGCCCGCCAAGTTGCGCATGCTCCAGGCGAAGATCACCGACAAGTCGGGTGCAGACTATCAACGTTTCTCTTGGGAGGTATTGAAGAAGTTTATCCACGGTCACATCAACAAGGTCAACACCAGCAATATCAAGATCATAACGCGCAAGCTGCTGCGCGAGAACATCGTCCGCGGTAGAGGTCTTCTGGCGCGGTCCATCATTCAGGCGCAGGCCGCGTCTTCGACGTTCACCCCGGTTTACGCGGCGTTAACATCCATAATCAATTCCAAGTTTCCCAACATAGGCGAGCTGGTGCTGAAGCGGCTCGTTCTGCGCTTCAAGCGTGGATTCGAGAGGAATGACAAGCCCCTGTGCATATCCACGGGAATTTTCATAGCGCATTTGGTCAACCAGCGTGTGGCCCACGAGATTATCGCTTTGGAGATCCTGACGCTGCTGTTGGAGACGTCGACGGACGATTCCGTCGAGGTGGCTATAGGATTTCTGAAGGAATGCGGTATGAAGTTGACGGAGGTGTCGCGACGGGGTATCGAGGCCATCTTCGAAATGCTGAAGAATATACTGCATGAGGGACAAGCGAGTTCAGTATATGACAGAAGTCATGTTCCAAATCAGGAAGGATGGCTTCAAAGATCACCAGGCGGTGTCCGAGGATCTGGATCTCGTGGCGGAAGAGGATCAAATAACCCATTTGATACGATTGAACGACGAGATGATGAATGCGCAAGATATGTTGAACGTGGTTCAAGTTCGACGCGGATTACCTGGCTTCCGAGAAGAAGTACAAGCAGTTGCGCAAAGAGATTCTCGGCTCGGACGTCAGCAATTCGGAAGAGGACGACAAGGACGGAGAGGAGGAGAGCTCGTCCAACGAGAGCGACGCAGAGCAGACCGAGGGAAAAAAGGGGGTGATACTCGACAACACAGAGACAAATCTGACCGCGTTGCGAGAAACTATATATCTGACAATAGGATCGTCGCTCGTCTTCGAGGAGTGCGCGCACAAGTTGATGAAATTGCAACTGAAACCCGGGCTGGAGATCGAGCTGTGTCATATGGTCGTGGACTGCTGCGCAGAGACGCGTACGTACGAGAAGTTTTT